GCAATCTGCTTGTTCACCTGATCAGACAACTGTGGTGGTATTGCCACGACCTACTTGTTCACTGGCTCTCTGCCTCTCGAGGAAGCAGTAGCCGTGATGAGAAAGCACATGAGTAGCATCAGCAACTGGCGACAATGATGCTAGGAAGGCATGCTCACTGTGTCTTGTCCAAGGGCCCCCTAAAGGTTGGAGTTGGCATTGAGGGGACTTATCGTGGTCTACTTTCCCTCTGACCTTACTGCTTACAATTCCAGTGCCCCCTTTATGCCTATAAACTGAGGATAACACTGCATGCATTTGATGATGTGGACTGTAGTCCATAAGAACTCACATCATAACAACTATGTTGGTTTTTAAGATGTTACAAGACTATGTTGGTTTTGCTGCCACAGACTAATACAGCTACCCCTCTGGAAAGGGTTATTAATTGATTTTGTTCTTAGTGCATTAGCTGAACTGCTTTGGGGACCCCACATGGGGATGAAATGCAGTGTATGTATAGTGTGCACACAGAAGAACACAGGAGCATGAGCCATACATCCAAACTCTGTATATTATACAGGATTGCATTTATAAAGGACCAGACCTCTAACACTGATAAGTAGCCTGAGCCTCCCCATGTGATATCATATAATGAAGGAGGTCCATAAGACCAGCAACTCTGACTTACTATTGAATCATTGATGTTGCTCAGTAAAACCTGCCTGTCTTCATAGGGTTGTTTGGGGCCTCTCAACATCATCTCTACAAAGTGTGTTAGACATGTTGTCACTAAAATTATTTGTTTTTTGGCACCAGGCTAAGACCTTTTTATTTAAAACTTATTTTAATTGTTAAATTATTTAATTAATAGGATTTTAAATTTTTAGCCGAGAATGTACTGGGGGTTTTTAAACAATTTTTTAAAATTTGTTGTATTGTTATTATTTATGTATTTATGTATTCTTTGTGAGCTGCCCCGAGGCTTTGTTGCGATGGGGGCGGCATAGAAATGTATTTATTAAATAAATAAATAAATAAATAAATGGCATTTTCAGTAGAAATAAGAGGTCACTATTTGGGCTATCACTCAGAAAGGACAAGGTTCAGCACCCCTAGGTCAGCAAACCAGACCATTATTTCTCAACAAGGCAGGCTATGCTGTCTCAATGGCCAGGTGTTCCTTCTAATTGACTGACTGACTGAAGCAGGGCCCACCCCAAAAAACCCCCAGCTAGAAAGCTGCAAGCAGTTCGTGTAGCCATACAGATGGACTTATCTAGGACAGGCATCAAGGGTAGGTATGGCTGCTTATCTGCCAAGAGCCCTTTTCAGCATTGTATCCTGCTTGTTCATCTGCCTTTTGCTCTGGTCCAAATAATGGTGGTGGTAAGAAGAAGGGGCAGCTGATACAACATGCTTGTTCCCTGGGCCTCTGCCTGTCAGACAAGGAAGTGGGAGCAGTGAGGCAAAAGTTTAATGAGGAGTTGAACCAAGAACAGGTGGTGACAATGGAAGTGAGAAGGCAGATTCACTGAAGTAGCTTTGCCCAGAGGTCTTTCTTACCCCTGGGGGAAAAACACCCAGGACATGGCTGATCCATATATATTGAGTTGCTTTTTGAAGTGAGAAAGTGCTAGTCTGATGCCTTTTCAATGGACTCATTTCCCCCTTTGCTACTATTAATCTCCATTCAAATTTATTTTTGATTAGCATGCAAGTAGCACACTTGGCAATTCTAGAGGGTTCTGTGGGCTTGATTACAGCACACAGATGTCCCTTCCATGAGGGCTGCTGTTCCTTGCTCCCTCTGCTCATTGCATTTTATTGGGGTGAAGAGTGGATTTGTGTTACAGTACACACTGCAGTAGCTTTTTCATGGCCTTTGGAAATAATTTAGCAAAATAATTTGACAAAAAGTTAGGGACTGATGTTTTACCAGATGTTGATAACAACCATGCATATAAGTTATGGTCTGTATGGAACATATCAAGTACAACCAGACATAGGGCTATGGAGGGTGAATCACAGCATTCACCAGGTGGAGAGGAGGAGATAGTCTGTAGAGCTGAAATCTTGCAGGCATGACCTTCTTGTATGCCAGATCTGGTCTTTCAGGTTTCCCCCAGCTGGCCATGTCCCCTCCCCTGACTATTAATTGTTTTGAGTTTGCAGGCATTTGCATGGTCCACCCCTCTAAAAGGTTGAAATGTAAGGATTAATTATTAGTAGTAAGGACTTTAAGCTACAATATGCTGGCATTTGTTTGTAGATTTGGTTCTGCCTACTTTGCCTTTGACCACACCTGCCACTGTTATATGGGTTCTCAGAGTTTTTTCAAAATTGAATCCAACCTTGCAGTTGAAATAGTTTCTCTTCTGCACTATATATTGATTGGAATTTTACCTCATTTAGTTGCTGGGGAGATTGTCTGGGTACAGCGTTGTGAGTTGTGTGTTTTACAGTTGTGAAACAAAATGCCTGGACACGATGTTAGGATGGAGATGCTGCACAGTTCTTATGTCTCTGGAAGTTGTTGCTGCTCCTCCTCTGCATTTTAGTCTGTTTGCTGTTGCTATTGACTGAGCTCAGGCTGGTTTTTATCTTGGGTGGAACCAAGAAGGGCACAATAGCAAGCCATTGGGGCTCCACCACAAGGCTGAGCTATAAAGCATAGTGAAACACACATATACTACAGTAATTTATTTTGTGAAAATGACTGTAGATGTGGGGAGAAGAAAATGTTTAGGAGTTTATGCATATGGCTTCTGAAACTAATATTTTTGAGGGATGTCTAACACTGGTTCAGATCAAAGGCAGCTGGTTTTTCTGCTGTGCTGATAACCAGCTAGTGCCTGTTTTGAGTAACTTCACCATTACAACTTCAAACAAGAGGAAATACTTGCTTCTTTATCCCCATATGCTTTGGTGTAACTTTTGATAATATTAATTAATCTGTAGAACATCCTGAATTACCATTTAAAAGCACTTTAAAAGCTTAACAGCTTTATTGTGGCACAAGCTTTTATGGATTGGAGTCCACTTTGTCAGATACCTGAAGTGTTAGGCCTGGGAACCTGGTTTTTGAGTTGAAGCATGGTAACAGAAAACATACAAAAAGCTTCTCTTGATAAGATTGAAGGCCCATGTAGTCCAGTACTTTGCTTCCACCATCCAACCAGGGGCCAATGGAAATCCCACAAGCAGGGTATGCCGGGATGCTGCTGTTTCCTAGAAACTGGCATTGAGCATATAAAGCTAACTGATGCTTACGCCTGCAAAAGACGATGCTGATCAGTGTGGTTCCCATGGCCACCAGTGTGCCTCCAGACATCTTTAGTGACACCTGCCAAGATGTCCCATTCCTCCCCTTTAAAAAAAAGTGAATTCTTATTGACCACTGGGATTGCTTTGAAATAAGGTTTCTGTTGGTGCTTTAAAAAAAAGTTAGGTTTACAGGAGCTGTTCAATGTCGTGGGGCTCCCACATGTTGTTTTTTTGGCATGCTCCCTATCTTTTTGCTATGCCTTCCATGGTAACCATTTTGTTGGTGGTGCCCAAAACAGTTCCTCAAATTGCTAAATGTGGCAGAGGCCCCAGAAGTCAATTGACAGGTGGTGGTTTTACTAGCAGTTTCAGTCAGGGATCTCTTTCAAACCATTCCTAGAGATGCTAAGGACTGAGCCTTGGACCTTTGCACACAAGGTAAATACTGGAGATTGGAATCTGCTCACAGTGGCTTATGAATGGCAAAGGTCATCTATTACACACTGGCTAGCTTCTATCATGCCATGTAACATCAGCTAGGTTTGTCATTAGCTTCTTATTTCAAGAAATGGCATTTTATTTTGTATCCCAATGCAGAGTTCCCTTTCAAGTTAGTTAATGTTTAATACATTATAACGATGGAATATTCTAATGCACACATTCTGACCCACAAAATACCTCTCACCTGAGATGCAACCTACTCATCCCTCCTCTCCCACACAGTATTTGTGTGAGAAGGAGTTCTACATGTATATATGTGCACAGATTCTCTTTAAGAGAATAGAATCTGACTCAACCAGGTTCTCCTCTGGTATAACTGCTAAGTAGGCATGTCACTTATGTGCTTATTGGATAGTATCGAATTAGTGCCGTCCCCAATTGTCAGCAGAAGGGGGGTTAATTTTCTTTCCCTTCCAACAATTCCATCTCTCCTTACCATCTGCTTTAAGTGATTGGTTGGACCCCCCCCCCCCCCTGCAGATTTGTTGGGTGCAGGAGAACTTTGAGGGTGCGGGGTAAGAATGGAGAAAATTCCATGGTGTGAACTTTTGGGGAGGGACCACAGCTTAATGGTGGGGCACCTGGTATGCATGCAGGTCCCAGATTCAGTTCTAGTAGGGTTGCAAAAGCCCTACATGGAACCTTGGAGAACCGCTGCCATGCAATAAACTAAACCAAACCTGACTCCGTATAAGGCCGCTTGCTGTTTCTAAACCCACTCACACGAGGTTGGATGCCGTCCACAAGGTGCGGGGGCGTGGCCGGAGGGCATGTGAGCAGCGGGAGGTTGCCCACACCACCACGCTGGCTTGTTTCTTGAGCGTGCGGCGCGGGCACTTTCTTTGCTTTGGCCGTTGCGATGTTGCTTTTGCTTTTGTTTGGCTGAATACAGCTCAACTGAGGAACGGTTCTATGAAACCCGAGGGCTTGCGCACTGCCGCCAATGTCACTTGCTGCCCTGAACACACACGCGAGGGCACTTTCCGCTCCTTTTCAGGTCGCTCTGCCCCACTGCTTCCCGACCCCTCCCACATTTCCAGGGTGGTGCTTTCTAGGAAACCCTACGCATTCCCTCCCTCCTACCCTTCCTTCCTCCTGGTCCTGCTCTTCCCTCTGCCGGTATGTTTCTCTTCGCACTCCCCTCTTGGCTTCCTCATTGGTCGCGGGCGTCACGTGCCTGTGGTACCCACTGGAGTTTCCTTTTTCTCTCCGCCCGGCGGCGGCGGCGGCGGCGGCTGCTTCGGCCGGGCGGCTGGAACCGGTTTGGGTCAGGGAGAGGCTTAGTCGTCAGCAAACAGCAGCGCAACACCGCGCCGCCGCCTCTTCCTCCTCCTCGGTCGTGCCGCCGCCGTCGGCGTGAACAGTCGCCCTTCTCCTGAAGCCCCAGCTCTGTTGCCCCGGGGGGGGGGGGGGGGGGAGAAGACAGAGCACGACTCGCCGCCGCCGCCGCCATCATCATCATCATCATAGTCAACTATTCATCACCTGAAAGCCTCACAATCCTCCTCGTTGGACAGGTTGGTGGCAAAGCTCGGACTGGGGCAGAAAGGGGGAGGCTGTGTGGGGACGCTACCCGCGGCGACAAAGCTTCGGACACCGGAAAGAGGCTCCTTTGTGCGCGGCTTGTCGGCGGCTGTTTGTCCTCCTTTGTGTGCGGCTGCAAACATCAGGGATGCTGCGGCTGCCTCGCCTTGCCTGTCCTTCCCTTCTTCCAGTCCTATTCCGGGATAATTTTAATCCGGGATAATTTCCCTTCTGCCTGACCAATTGCTAACGGTAGGATTCGAAACCTTTCCCTCGCCCTCAGGCGGAGAGGCCTCACCTGCTATTTCTCACCCAAAACAAAACAATCGCAAACCTCCTGGAGAGGACAGAATTGTTGAGTGTGTGTGTGTGGGCGGCTGGTTGTACCGCAGTGGGCATGGGAGAGTATTTCCGACACCAAGAGTAGTCCATGACATAGGAGACTTCCTTCTGAGTTAGTCTGTTGGTCTATCTAGCTCAGCATTGTCCGCTCCGGTGACTCACAGGCCCTTCCTCTGCATGTTCGCTATCTTGAGTTTACGGCCCATTCACAATAAAATGGTGTTTTAGTACTTTCCTCCACTGCTTTTCCTCAAAGGCAGGCTGCTGATCCTCACAACTGTCTTGCAAGGTAGGTTGGGCTGGAAGGTCACCCTCGCAGTGGGTATGCTGACTGAATAGAGATTTGAATGTACCTCTCCATGGTTAAACTCTGGTCAGTATGTCAGTAATCTTTAAGCTGATTCACAGTCCTTTTTACGTCCTAACCTGCATGATAGGAATTGAGCTAAGGCACAAGTCTATTGCTGTTCAGACAAAAAAAGGTCCATTATTCCCAGCATTCCCCAGCTAGCTGCCTTCCTTCTAAACTGGGGTAGGATTGTATCCTTGACAGTGTGTGGCCTGTTGTCACCTTCTTTTCTTAGAATGACCAAAGGTTAAGGAAGATAACAGGGATTCCTACCATTTCAACAGCTGTGTAGAAGAGGTAATTTCAGCAGGTGCAAATTGCTGGGTGGAGGAACTAGGCACCTGCACCTCTGCTGTACCGCATGAAAACGCATAACAAGTTTTCTTTTTCATCTGGCAGTTCTTTCTTTCTGATTAGCAAAAATAAACACAATAAGTCATCCATCAAAGGTAGTATAGAATCAGTGTTCTGTTGCATGTCATGCTTTGGATAAAATATGTTAGTTCTCTGTTGAGGAGAATGTAATAATGCCAAAAAAAATCCTGTGGGATCAAAGTTCAGCACTTTTCTTCCTCCCCTTTGTTTCCTTATAGTGTTATATGGGGGAAATGCCACCCTCATTGATAAATCCTTAAGGCTACCCCCTTTCAAGCTTATCCTTCTACTCTAGTTATTGGTAGTAGTGAGCAATGTCTTATTTATCATACTGTTTCAAATTGCAAGTGGAACTTCATGATGTAATTCTTTTTCATGCCCAAATAATTCTCTGCATGTTCAAAGCAAAGCTTGGCATGTGAGGGAGACTGCTAGCTTAGAATTCTTGCCCTTAACATGACACTTTTCTGTGTGAAAGGAGATACATATGTAAGAGCCTTCCACAGTATGAGTTCTCATTTCCAGTCCAATGTAGTATTACCCAGGCAGAGATTAAGAACATGAATGTTAGTGAGAAGTAGGTTCTTGTCTTTCCCTCTCATCCTAGAAAGCCTAGTGTTTGTAACAGATGAAACCTTTTCCTTCAGTATTTTTGGATCTTATGTGGTAGTATCTTTTTCATTGCAGCTTTGTAGAGGTTTGCTGGGCAGGTACTGGGTTAATCCATGGTGTTCCTGGTTGATCTGACCTGTGATCTGCTCTACAGTTGAAGAAAGGGGGAAAGGTCTGGATGTTGATTTGACTTTCTTGTCCTTTTCTGTCCCTATGGGGAAAGATGCCAAATCTCCATAAGAAGCTGTCATGGAATTGGGGAGAAGCCAGCCAGAGAAGTACTCTAATGAAGGGTTTTTCATTATTGTGCCTGCTGTTGGCCGTAGACATGCAGACAGGGTGGGGAGGAAACATGTTAAAGGTCTTTTCATGTTATGTAATGTAAGTTATGAGAAACAGAGTTTTCTGTTGCTGTAGCCTGCTGATATGAAACAGCTGTCTATCTCTGGAAAAATATGACTACATTGACACTCATTACCTTGGTGCTTGTAGTGTGAATGTCAGTCCCTCTTGAGCCTTGTGTGCTCTTCAGAGATTAAGAATTAGAAGTACAATATTTATCAAACTCATAAAAATGGGGTGGTATTGATACTTTCTCTGTGCTGTAGGGGAAGTAATGCTTTGTGCAGGCACATCGGGCAATTTAAAAAGATGAGTATTCTACACAAAATCTAGATCTATATGTCAATTCTTTTCCTTTCTTTTTTGTTAGAGTCCTTTGTAGTAGCAGAGGAGCTACTCTTTTTGCTGTTTTGCATGAAGTTTTCCCCCCACAGCCAAAAAAAAAAAAAAAAGGCTCCTAGAGAGGATTACAAAGATGCTGTCCTTGGTCTCATAATCTAAAAGACCTGAAGCAAAATGAAAAGGGATTGGCATTTATATTTATGCTTTTCCTACAGAGCTCAGTGTAGCTTACATGTATTTCCCAGCATCAGAGGACTTCTGAGGCTAAAAAGTGAAAGGCCAACTTATAATAAAATAAAAATACATCTTTTCACATCCAGTACTTACTACTCATACATTTTTTACCAGATGGCCCCAGCTGTCCCCCAAACACAATTTAAATCATTTAGAGAAGGGGGAAAATGGCATCTGTGTGTGTGTGTTCATTCACAAAGTCATGCCTGGCTCTTTGTGACCCCATGGACCACAGCACACCAGGCTCCCCTATCCTCCATTGCCTCCCAGAGCACATCCAACTCCATACCCACTACACCAGTGATTCCATCCAACCACCTAGACATCTGCCATCCCCTTCTCCTTTTGCCTTCAATCATTTCCAGAATCAGGGCCTTGTCAAATGAGTCCTTCCCTCTCATTAGGTGGCCAGGTATTTGAGCTTCAGCTTCAGTATTTGTCCTTTTAAAGAACAGTCTGGGTTGATTTCCTTTAGCATTGACTGCTTTGATGTCTTTGCAGTCCAAGGGACTCTCACAAGCCTTCTCCAACACCACCATTCAAAAGCATCAATTCTTTGGCTCAGCCTTCCTTATGGTCCAATTCTCACAGCCAAATATTACAACTACGAAAACCATAGCTTTGACTGCACAAAGTTTTGTCAGCAAGGTGATGTCTTTGCTTTTTTCTATGCTGTCTAGATTTGCCATAGCTTTCCTGCCAAGGAACAAGCATATTTTAATTTCTTGGTTTCAGTGATCGTGGAGCCCAAGAAAATAAAACCTGTCACTACTTCCATTTCAAAAATGGCATCTGTAGTGTTTAGAATGGCTACAAAGCTAATTTTGACCATTCGGGTGTTCCATAGCATGTATGTTTGTGTGTGGCCTGCAAGGGTTATTTGCTTTTCGGCACCAGGCCAAGACCTTTTTATTTAAACGTTATTTTAATTGTTAACTTTATTTATTGATTTTAACCATTTTTTGCCAGGATGTCTCCAATATTTTATGTAATTGTATTGATTATATTTATTTATGGTTTGGAAGCCGCCCTGGGGCTTATGTGAATGGGGCTGCATATAAGTTCTCCAAATAAGTAAGTAAGGGTGCTGAAAAAGACCCTTGGCCCTCCTGAAGTTTCCTGCTCTTAGCATATAGAGACAGGCAAGAAAAAGGCCTTGGATTCTCAGCCCAGATTTTATTTGGAGTTGGAGTTGGGAGGCTCTCCCATTGATTGATTGATTGATTGATTGATTGATTAAAACATTTCTATGCCGCCCCTTGCCAAGGCCTCGGGGCGGCTTACAACATCGAATACAAAATACATTAAAACAATGACAATTAAAATATATACAGTAAAATAAAATAAGCCGCCTTGGCCGAATAAAATTCAATAATATTAACATTTAAAATGCTGCATAAATAAAAAGGTCTTCGCCTGGCGCCGAAAAATAAATAACGACGGCGCCAGGCGGACCTCTCTGGGGAGTGCATTCCATAACTTAGGCGCCACCGCTGAGAAAGCCCTCCTCCAAGTAGCCACCCTCCTAATTTCCTTCACTGAGGGCTCCCGGAGGAGGGCCTCTCCTGCTGATCTCAAGGGGCGGCTGGGCATTTATGGACGTAAGCGCTCCTTCAGGTAACCAGGACCCAAGCCGTTTAGGGTTTTATAGGTCATCACCAACACCTTGAATTGGGCCCGGACTTCAATGGGAAGCCAGTGAAGCTGACGGAGAACTGGAGTCATGTGAGCATAACGTCCAGTTCCCGTCAGTAGCCTGGCAGCTCTATTTTGAACCAATTGAAGTATCCGGACCGTCTTCAAGGGCAGCCCCACGTAGAGCGCGTTACAGAAGTCAAGATGGGAAGTCACCAGTGCATGAGTCACTGTCGCGAGGCTGTCGTACTCCAGATAGGGGCGCAGCTGATGAATCAGCCGAAGCTGGAGGAAAGCGCTCCTCGCCGCTGCTGTTACCTGAGCTTCGAGTGAAAGCTCCGGGTCGAGGAGTACTCCCAAGCTGCGGACCTTGTCCCTGGGAGGGAGTGCAACCCCGTTCAGGGCAAGGTTCAATTCACCTTCTCCGAAGCCCGAACCGCCAACCAACAGGACTTCCGTCTTGTCTGGATTGAGCTTCAGTTTATTGGCCCTCATCCAGCCCATTACCTCGGCCAGGCACCGGTTCAGTACAGCCACTGCCTCACCTGGATTGGTGGAAAACGAGAGGTAGAGCTGGGTATCATCAGCGTACTGGTGATTCCGCAGCCCACACCTCCTGATGACCTCTCCCAGCGGTTTCATGTAGATTGATGTTAGGTTCTTGAGCTCCATCCAGCACATTCCTGGATCCACACCTTATACACCCAGCTGCTTTTAGGTTTCATTTTGATAAATGATCTTGTTATCTTTCTGGTCACTGCTGTTGCTGTAGTTCATTCTGTCCACCAGTTCTGTAAGGAGCCTCTGGAGTGTGGTGTCTCACCTTCAGTCTGTTTCCAATATGGTACAATGGTCAATGCTTGCTTTAGCATCATAGCCTTTTGGCATTTTGCTGGTGATCAGAGAAAGACCCAGAGTGCCTGGCCACATTTATTTCTGCAGTAGTGCCCATTCCCACAGCATCACTCCTTAGCAAGTACAATTGTTGGGCCTCTGCAATAGATTAAAATTAGGGACATCTAACCATACAGTGTATTTCCTGTTTGACGAAGGAGATCCATCCCATGTATCTGGTTCCATGGCAAAAGTGTGGATCTTCCTGCATAAGCGTCAAAGAGGGCAGGGAAGTAGGGCCCAAACTGCTCCACATTGGATTCCAGTAAAGAATTTTGTCTGGCCAAGACCCGTGAGTTGATGCTCCACTTAATCATGAAATAGGATGGTATGGATCTTCCTAGTTGCATAGGTGGCCAACAGTGTCTTGATGCCCAAGAGTTTAAACAGTTGGAGTGAACAGGGTCCTTCCAAAGAGGGTTTTCCTTCTGCACATGGAAGCACACTTTCATGGAGATGTCCAGCTTGTCCTACAGCTTCCCAGAGATGAGAAGCCCATAATGGCTTGTCATGTTCCTGCATGGAAAGTTGGGGATGTTTGTGTATTAGAAAGACTTCTGGTTCTTCGAGCTGTTAGCAAGTGGACCTACTCTGGAACCACAGATGATAGCAGTTCTGAGTTGCTGCTTTGTATGGGTTCAAAGCTTAAATTTTCATTTTCAATTACAGTCTAATGTCAACTAAAAATACCCCTCCCCAAAAAAATCCTGAATTTGAGAGTGTTCTGAGAGAGCACTCTGTCATTGGAATTAATTTTGCTGTGATTTTGCTTCCTGTTAAACACACCTCAGTCCCATTTATTTCTAACAGGGTTAAACAGCATCATAGACCTTGAGCATGCATATAAACTTTCTGTAGATCCTATATAGAATAGAGTTGTAAAATCATACTTAAATTTAGTTGCAGGCACAGTTCATTTGATTATTGATTTGAGAGAATGGAATTGACTTTTCATGGTTAGTATAGCAATACCTGTAAAGGCACTTGAAACAGTTGTTTTTAATGGTTTAAACTACCTGGTTGGATCTGAGCACGATATGACTTAACTTGAGATGTGTCTCTGTTAGCATTGTATTGGAAGAATTTTAAAAATTCTGTAACATTTTGATATAAGCAACTTTGCAATTGGCTGATTAGATCCCATCTCCAAAACAGGGAAATGCTGGGAAATGCTTGTAGTAAAATAATGCCAAAAATTAAAAAGTCTGCTAAACAATATGTTGAAATAGATTGTGATGCAAATTAATTAATGTACTATACTGTGTACTAATGTGATGCAAATTAGTATACTAATTGTGATACAAATGTACTAATGTAGAGATTAAAATAGGGCTAGGTAACTGGAGGGCCCTCTGGAGGAGAGCGCACAAATTGAGCCACAAAATATTTCAACTGTTTTACTCACTAGGGCAATCTTTTAGATCAGGGGCCTTGTCCACCTGTGCTGGGGATGCTCCCCAGCTAAAGGTACAGGTAAAGCAGCTCTTCAGCTGCTTTTTCTGCACTGTTGGGAGAAAGTGAAACTTTCAGCTGTTCGGTCCTGTGAGCATGACAACACAGTGAGCAGTAGAGAGCTGTTGTATCTAAAGCAGGGGTCTCAAATTCAACTTACCTGGGGGCTGCTGGAAGTAGAGTCTGGGTGAGGCTGGGCCGCATCGAGTATTCCACCACCGCGGTGGGGGTGGGCCGCTCATCTGGAGGCTGGCCCGGGCGCCACCGGCGCTTTGAAGGCCGCAGGGCCCCTCCCCGTGCCCCGCCCGTCCCGGCAACTGGCCCTCAGGCCGCGAGTTTGAGACCCCTGGTCTAAAGGAAGTTGTCTCAACTGTCCAAACCCTCTGCAGTTGTTCATCCTATGGAAGCAAGTATTTACCTTTACTTGTACTCTTCTGAGATTGGTCAATGAATAGAGTGTTGCTGGTTCTTCAGCTGTTGTTCAATTCAAAATATGGCCTGGCTGAAAGATATTTCTTAGTGTTTCTGAAAACACATCATCATGTTAATTGTTGCATGCAATCTGGCACTTCTGATTAATACGGCTTTTAACTGGAAGAAACAGAAAAGTTTAGTAGCAACTTCAGTAGCCTTCTGTATTGATAGCATGTTGCACATCTTCAAATGAAATCTCAGTAGGTTATGATGCTGCATTGCAGCACTGGCATTGCAGAATACCCGGTAGCATTTTTAAGAAAGCAAGTTACCTTGTCATTTCTTCTGGCTCTTTGTAGAAAAATTAAAGGCCTATTTGTGGCAAGGCTGCCAATACAAATGCTGCAGAATGTTCACTGTTCTCTTGACTATTTCAGTTTTGAGGGTAGAAATCATGCAATTTTACAAATAGATGCTGTCAGTTCAGCACTTAAAAGTACGAGGGTTACGTTTCCAAGGGAAAGATACTGTCCCCCTCCCTTCTGGTGCAATTTCTTCATTTGTCTTCCTTTTCTCCCATCCCCAATTTTTGGTGTATTGAACCACTGGGCCACTGATCAGAAATGGTTTTGGTGGAGAAGTTTGCCATGTCAAATGTTACTGATATAACTTCTTGAAGTAGTCAAAGGCTTTTCCTATTTTAAAATGCATTTCATATCCGTAAGTTGTGATGGTAAGATTTTTCTGGTAGAATTTGTCAGCCAAATTCTGTTTTGACTCAGAAGATATATAATTAATGCCTATTAATGTGCTATGGCTATGCACATGAGCCATACCATGTAAGAGGTCCAGTCTATGCATTTAGGGCTTTTCTATGTGAGATTGAATCCTGATGGTCCCAAAAGCCCTTCATATGGCTACTGAACTCATGGCTCGTAGGATCATGGCAGATTTGCATGTGGGAGCAATGCTAGCTCACATGACTCTGGAATCTCCTCACAGTGTGCGAGAAGGTGTCATGTGAAATCATATGAACCCCCTTAGATATAATGTACCAATTTTTTGCTTAAAACTCAAGGAAGTAGTGTTGCTTCTCTGGTTAGTGTACTAAAGCAGTAATGTGGTGGTAGTGTCTCAACTCCAGGCAGTTACGAATGATACTAATTAGCTAGATCCACTCCAGTCTTGTGTGTGGCCAGGTTTTGGCACAGAAACAGCCTTCAATGTCCTTATGGATGGTCTGTGATTGGAGATAGGGGGAATATGATCCTGCTGATTCTGTATGATCTCCCAGGCTTCAGTACTATTTGCCATGATATCCTTCTAGGTCTCTCTCAGAAACTCTTATTCTGCCCTGGGTTCTTTCTGGTGATAGGGAAAGAAGGTGGTGCTGGGGAAATTCTGTTCACCTTTTGTCCCTTAAGCTTCATATAATGTTAATCTGGAAGTATGGGCAGAAGTTGCATAAGTATGCTATTATTACTCTGCTCTGTTCCTCATTTTCATTTATTAATCTCAGGCAGACTATGAACATTCTGAACCAGTGTCAAGGGATTGTTCTGAAATGAATGAAGAAGCTGAAGCTTATTTCAGGCAGGGTAGAAAGTCTGTTGTTTGGGACTCTTCTAAACTTAGTTTAGAAGGTATTAATTTTTTTCTGGATGGGGTTGCACTCCATCTGAAGAAAGAAAACAGCTAAGGGGTTCTGAACCCAGCACTATGTCTGGATGCACATGTGCTGTCAATAACTAGGAGTGCTTTTTACCAGCTTAACCTGATTTGCCAACTGCAGCCTATCTGCATCAGTCACTCCTGCACTAGTTACATGCAGATTGGATCACTACAATGCTCTTTCCCATTCTGTCTCTTAAAAAACGTGCAGAAATTACACTTCATCCAGAATGTTGCTGTCAGGATGCTGGTAGGAGTAGTGTCGTGATCTTATATGCTGATCCCAGATCAATAGCTCTGGTTATTGGTGCATTTCTGAGCTTGTTTTAAATTGTTGTTGAGTGATCATAAAAGTTATAAATAGCCTAATGCCAAGTTATCTGAAGATTTGTGCCCGCATAATCCCTATCTGAACTCTTCTATCAAAGAAGTCTTGTTCTTTGGCATAGTATTAATTAAGATTATCGTGCTGGGGTTCTAAGGACATGGCATTTTTAGTCATGGTTCCATGCCTGTGCAGCCTCCTCCCAAGGGAAATTTGATGGGTGCTCACTTTTGCCATTTTGGACATACACTGAAAGCTTTTGTTCTGCAACGATTTTTGTGAATAATTCATACTGAGTGTTAGACACCTTATTAAAATATTTCTGTTGCTGAATTCTCAACAAGTGTTATTTTCTGTTTATTTGTATTACAAGCTGCCTTTAGGGGAAAAACGTATTTTGAAAGACTTGATATAAATAAAATAAGTACATTCATGTATGAAGATATATAGAAAATTAGTGTAGTACTCCTGAATCATAATGCTTTTTCTCATCTTCTCAGGTTGTAGCAGACATACAACATCATTCACAAATATGGCACCTTGTCGGATTACCTTTGAAATGAGAGGAATATCTCCACCAGGTACAAAACACTTTTCTCCTGTAAAATTTTAATGTAATAAATAGAAATCATGTGCAAATACTTGGAGGTGGGATGTATGGGAAAACTGGTTTTGTTTTTTTCTCATGCAGTCAAATTTCTTCATATAGCAGATGTTTAAAGGGTGCAATGTTATCTGCTTTTTACTGAGCAAGTGTATGAGGATTTGTTTTTGATGAACAGGGTGGGTTTCCCTGAGCTCCACTACATTTCCAAATATTTGTTTAGCAGGGACCTGCCAAATATGTCTCATTGGTCAAACTAATGTGTGAAATCTTTCCCAGTGCCTCTTTGGCTCAGTTGTCTCCCTTTTGCAGTTGACCAGCTATTATGCCTACACAGCCCCTTTTATGCTAATAGCCTCTTCTGTCCATCAGCTGTCTCTGTCTTTCCACTATTACTGAATTTCTGCTTCCCCCACATAAAATATGCTGTTGTCAGTATTTTCCTTTAACGCCATGTTTACTTACAGTCTGAGGCAGCTTTAACATGATTTCACGTTCACTTTATGATATATTGTAATGCACAGTCTGTGATCATGCAGCCTCTCAGATGATACAGGTTTAGCTTATTATATATAATATGCTATATACTAGAGTTGATATACTCTGCACATACTCTTTTATAACTCTATTGAATAAGCATTAAAACAGAACTGTTTCTTAGCTCTGTAATTTTTCTGTGATGCAACTAGTAGTCTTCTCATGTTAAATTCCTTGGCTGACTTTGTTTCAAAAAATGTCCAAATGAACAAATAGCATTAAAAATAATAAAGCAGCATTGTTTTAGAAATTATTTGCCTTAGAACTGTATAGTTCCTACCTCTAATTTTTTATACTTTTTAAACTCCATTTCAAAAAATGGGGGTTTACTTTGGATTGCTGTCAAAAATAAGTACTTGTGAAAATGGAGTGGCTCATGCTTGGTCTCAAAGTGGTACGTAGAATATTGGGAATAAGTGAAGTGAGGACTACATGAGTGCAAAAACCTCAGAGGAAGATTATTGCAAAGGGAGTGAATGAGCCACTATCCCACTCTTGTAAGCTAAGACCACTCTCATCTTTGGTTACATTTGACAGCATTTAATAGCTGCTAGTAATTTACTTGCAGCCTCTGTGGGACAGTGCCTGGGACTGGTATTTTCTGAAGATTGCTAGCAAGCACCACTCTGCATGTCACACACATGAGACTCTCTCTTTCTGTAGTGGAGATTTACACTTGTGCAAGTATGGTTAAATAATATTGCATATATTTGGGAAAATGGGGGGGTTAAAATGGGGGTTAGCAATTATGGACAGTTCTCCAAGTTGCCACTGGGGCACGTTGAAGATTTTCTCATAGCTGTCAAAACAGAATCAGAAAAGTCAGCCTGACAGGCTGCTTTTGCAATCTCCTAAAAAAATGAAGTAGAAATGCAAACTGGTGAGCCCAGGATGGCTTGTGATCACAGCAGGAAGAAGGTAGATAATTCAGTCTTCCCATGATATTCCCTGGGGTACCTGTAGGAGGATGCCGGGGGGGGGGGAGTGGCTCCTTCCAGTGAGCTTGATGGTCCATTGGGTACTCTATTATTGTTATATATTTATTTAAAACATTTCTATGCCGCCCCCATCGCAACAAAGCCTTGGGCGGCTCACAAAGGATACATAAATTCATAAATAATAACAATGTAACAATTTAAAAAATTGTTTAAAAACCCCCTGTGCATTCTCGGCTAAAAATTTAAAATCCTATTAATCCAAATAATTTAACAATTAAAATAAGTTTTAACTAAAAAGGTCTTAGCCTGGCACCGGAAAACAACGACGGCACCAGGCGGACCTCTCTGGGGAGCACATTCCATAGATGGGGCGCCACCGCAGAGAAAGCCCTCCTCCGGGTACTCACCCTCCTAATATTCACAGAGGGTTCCCGGAGAAGGGCATCTGTTGCTGATCTCAAGGGGCGGGATGGCATATATGGGTGCAAGCATTCCTTTAGATATCCAGTTCCCAAGCCGTTTAGGGCTTTATAGGTCATAACCAACACCTTGAATTGGGCCCAGACTTCAATCGGGAGCCAGTGGAGCTGACGGAGAACTGGGGTTATATGAGAACAACGCCCAGTCCCCGTCAGCAACCTGGCAGCACTATTCTGCACCAATTGAAGTATCCGGACCGTCTTCAAGGGTAGCCCCACATAGAGCGCGTTACAGAAATCTAATCGGGAAGTTACCAGTGCGTGTGTCACTGTCACCAGGCAGTCATTCTCCAGGAAGGGACGCAGCTGATGTATCAGCCGAAGCTGAAGGAAGGCGCTCCTCGCCACCACTGTCACCTGAGCTTCTAGAGACAGCTCATGGTCGAGGAGCACTCGTAAGCTGCGAATCCTGTCAGAGGGAGTGCAACCCCATTTAGGACAAGGCCCAAGTCCACCATCCCGAGGCCCGAGCCACCCACCAACAGGACCTCTGTCTTGCCTGGATTGAGCTTCAGTCTATTGGCCCTCATCCAGTATGGGTTATTTGTACAGCAATGAACTCACCATAGCTTATTGCCACCAATAAGCTTTAGTGGGTAGGTGTGATGTGTGAATGCACTGTGTATGTGAGTGGAAGTGGCAACTTCATCTTTTCTGGACAATCCAGTCTTCTCATTAAAGCAGAGAAAGGCAGAATGATCAAAAAGGAAAACTAGTTCCTGATGGACTCATCCAGTACAAGTTGTGACTTTCAGAACTCCTGTGGGCTTGACTAGTAATACATTTTGCACCTTTCTCTTAGCTATGTGAGCATTTCAAACATGAGTACCTATAGGTTTTTTTTGGGGGGGGTTACATTTCATTTATCTCCTTTGCTGCTGCTTCGGATGCTTTGTTCATTACTCCCTATAATTTGTCCTCTTCACACAGTTTCCTAGTTCTGTAGCTTCTTTGACCCTCAGCTCCTGCCTCTGTGCTCAGATCCACCCCCTTTTACTACACCAGTATGAAAACCTTGCCATTTCTACAATCTTGTAGATGAAATAGATCTTTTTTTTTCTTGTAGATGAAATAGATCTTGTATTGCTCTTACAGCAGCTGTGCTGACCAAGTCAGCCACTGATCCCTTTACTTTATCAGATAGCACATTCAGAAATATTATATAACGTCCTCAAACTCAGTCAGCAGGCATGCTCCTGGTGTCTCAGATAACAAGGAATTGACTTTTGGCCTAATATATCTGACTTGTAAAGACTTCTAAATAGACTATAGGTCTGTTTACAAGTCTGTTTAGAAATATGTGCATGTACTTATCTTTAAGGCACATCGGAATCTTGTGCACGGTTTTGGAACATCAGTGTATCTCTTGCTCCCCCCTGTGGAACTGCACATTATAAATAACACAAGTAATTTAATGAATGTTTCTCTCTACTGAGGAAATCCAGTTTGTAAGTTACCACTTTCTAGATGCAGTATACAAATTATTAGGGTTTCATTTCCTGCTATGAACACATTATTACTGCTGAAAAGCATGTTTTAGAAGGAGCGTTGTAAGTGCATTTCAGCATTATTTAAGAATTAATTTGGGAACTATTTTAAACATGTGAGAGCTTTAATGCCCCACAGTTGAGCAGCACAGCGGGTTTTGAATGAAAGAAAGCAAGGATGAAATCCTAAGCATTTCTACGACAAAAGTTTTACAACTCCCAGCATCTACAGCCAGCTATGCTATGCTGACTGAGGAATTCTTTGAACTGTAGGATTCTTTTTCTGTATAACCATGCCTAGTAGTACAGTGAGCTAAGACTGCAAAATTTGGTCCATTTTGCCTTGTGTGCTCTTGATACTGCTCACCCCCCTGTCTGTAAAGTTCAGCAGGACCCCCATATCCGCTGGCTCATTTACTGCATTTGCAGTTAAGTGTGGTTGACCTTGGCTGAAAGAGAAGTTGCAAAGTGCCAGAGAGAATTTGTAAAGTGCTGTAAATTTCCAGAGAGGTCATAAGTGCTTCCTGAAAGTGAAAATTCTTGCTTTGATAGGGAAAAGAAAGAATTGTATGCTGAGGTAAGAACAAATGAAAAATTGGGGGAAAAGACATGTACTGTATATAGTATATATAATATAGTGTTCACTGTTATCCATGGTTTTAGGCATTTGCTGGGGGGCACAGATACAGCTGTCTTGCTGTACTACTGTTTTATACAGCGCCTGGAGTGCAGTTTTGGTGAATTTCTGATAATTTGAAAGCTTATATTGTGTGCTTTCTTACACTATTTTCTTACCTCTAATTTCAGGAGAGGTTTTTGCCATATGTGGGAGCTGCAATGCTCTGGGAAATTGGAACCCCCAGTGCGCAGTAATTCTTCAGCCAGAAGATGAGGCTGGTGATGTGTAAGTGTCTTTCAGTAGTATGTGCAAAATCTCATAACTGAACACACAGGCTGGGTGCTGCTAATTAGGTGTTCATATGCTAGTTCCTAATAGCCTTGAGATTTGGATGCCTCATTTTAGAAAGCAAAAGTATCACTTGAAAGTGTTTATTGCATGATGTGTACCTGGATGCAGCTTAAGCACTTGCATGGCTCATATTTAGCTTATGTGGTTATAATAAATTACTTCCAGGAAAACATGTCTGCCCATGTAACATCATTATGTGGCCCATAGACTACATCAGAATGTAATCACATTTTCTAGCCCCTTCTGCTGTGTATCCTTTGCTTTGATTGCATTGATCCCAAGGGAAACAAACACACATTGATCTAGCAAGGGTCACTGGGCACAGTCTCTCTATGTGCAAGAGGTTGCTGGAGTGGGGGCTAAGGCATGGGTTTGAAGCAGAATTACCCTTCTCTCAGCATCGCATATTGTTTTTGCAGCTTGAGTACTTGTTCAGTGTTCCAAGAGGTAGATATAACCTCCACATCCACTTCTGTGCACTTCTTTTGCTTCACCTTGCTGTGGGACTCCTGGTTCTCTGGTTATAATGGAGCATACGGTGAAATTAATAGAGGTCCAATCCTATAACTGTCTTTGATATTCTGATGGGACTAATGATCCCTCCAAGTATTCAGTGAAGAAAATGTCTTTGGAAGATGCCTTTGAAAAGTATTAGTGTTTACATCTTTAAGCTGTCCTCTGTAAGCTGTCCAAAGACTTTTAGTAATGGGACTGCATAAATAAGCCACTAAATATCTGTGTCAAGGGCTGTTATTTAGTAAGTTGCTCACTGAGCCCTAATATGTACACACTAGACTTCTTTTTACTTCACCTTAACAACAGCCTCTTGCACCACTCGAGAAGCTATTTGGACACCACAACAATTGTGTTAATGGCTTCATCTGAAAACAGTATATGGAGACAATCTATTTAACAATATATTTATAAGCAGAGTCCTTGTTGGATCCTGAATGCTTCAGAGAAGTAGAGTAGTTGCTCATCTTTAATGTAATGGTTTTGTCTGAAGCTTGCTGAAAGGATGTTTTGAAACTTCTCACTGTGATGTCCTCTGTTATGTCAGAAATAGCCATTTGAAACATAAGCAAGGAAAAAGATCAATATGTCTTAGTTTGACACTTATCCTATATTTCCCTAAAATGTTTTCAAAAATATTTTTCTGCAGTCTGTTGTGGAAAGCTACAGTTGACCTTCCTAGAGGAAAGGATATTGACTATCGATATTTTCAAGGAACTTTTTTAGAACCCCAGGTATGTATGCCTGTATAAGTCTCAAAATAATTCTAGGATAAGGGCTGGGTGGTATGGCTATGCCCCAGCTGTTAAATTCATTTTTATTCAGTTCTCCTAATTGCAAACTAAATGTAGCTTCAACTAAAATTTTCTACACTGAAACATTTGTATAAGAGAACACAAAAACAAGAGAGCGCCTATGTATATCTTGCCACATATATTAGCAAGCCACCGTTGGTCACTTTCCCAGCATGTTCATGCAGATCAAAAGTCATGTACAGTTTTTGTATGCAGTGATCTGCACATACATTTGTTCCCAGATACTTACTGTGATCTGGTTCACACAGCTTGACAAATAAGTGTACAGGTTGCCATTGAATTGCAGGGTGTTGCATTGTGTTATGTGAATCCAGCTATACTAACAAACCATGATTTATTAATCACAGAAAACCCACATTTAACACCCTAAATACAAACCACTGTGGGTTAATGGTTTGTTACTGTGGGTGGGTTTACTAACATTTTTTGGTTAGCTCTGTTTTGTTGTGTCGGATACAACTTTGCTGTATTGGCAAAGTTGAACTTATAAGAAAGAATCAAGCTTAAATGATACCTTTTTTTTTTTGGCTGTTCGCTTAAATTTTATACGTTTTAAGCATGGCACAGTCATCTAATATATTAGCAATGTAAGCCTTTAATAGTAGAAAATAGGTCAATGTGTTGGCATGTATCCTGTTGTGTTAGTGGTTTTGCAGGACATGTTAATAAATGGAAAGTATCTAAAGTATGGAGAGAATGCAAGTACAACCTAGGTTTTTTTTTTTAAGTTGATAGATCTACTGTAGTTAAGACAAGTTCCCTTATAATACATTGAAACTTCACAGTATGTATTGGTGAGTGTCTTTCCTTTGAGTAGGTTCTCTGTATTGTGCACACTGTAAGTACCGTGTGATGCAGAGGCTTCTATGGTAAGTATGAATTTTATGGAATAGCAGTGTAGAGCACCCAGTATTGATGGCTGTGATGGCGATCATAAACCTAGCTATCAGAAAAAGATTTTGAATTTGAATGGGAGTGGGGAGGCTGTACTGCAGTGAAAAATGCATTGTTCAAGTTTATGAATATAATACAGTGCAATACAATACAATACAGAAAGCAGAAAAATAATAGAGTACAGAGAGTGACTACAGCTAATTAAATATGAAATTAAATGCACCTGTGCCTTTGAATTAATAATGATACGTCAGAACTTTCGTTAAAGTTCTTTGCATTGTAATTTTTCTATAGCTTCATTGAGTTGTGATTGCTTTTGATTACTGGAATATTTCCTAGTTCATAGCCTTTTAGTTGACAAATTGAGGCAACAAATGAGGAGGTTTTAATGCACTGGTATGTGCCAATTTTATAAACGTATTCCTAAGCAGAGTTATCAAATCTGAACTAAGAGATGAAGCAGACTATATTTAAGCTTAGTGTAATCTGATGCAGGTTTATTTCCATGGAAATTTCACTATGTTCCAACTGTAATGCTCTAACAGGGCAAGATAACAGGTTTATTTAACAATATATATATTCTAACCAGCAGGGTAGGAAATCTCTTAATTTTTCTCTGACATAATGGCTTCTCAGGTAATAACCACAAATTTGGCTGTTGATCAGGGCTGATTTTGAATATGAAATAAAGATACTTTATTTCTCAGTCCATGACTGGAAATGACTGTAACATTGGTATAAGTGAACCAGACTGTGATCCTGATTCATAATACATGAGTGGTGGAAATACTAAATAATTGGAGTATTGACATGTGCATACACACATACTGTCTTTCTCTCTCTTATTAAGTTGTATGTTAAGTAATTTAATTGAGCAAATACTGACTAGCTGACTTTGTCCTTATTTTCTAGCTTGTATGTTGAAAAATTAGTTTATATTACATTAATTCCAGTATGAATTAATTAAATCTGTATCTAGAAACCTTTCTAAGCAAAATGCAATCCAGCTAAGATGTTTTCTTGACTCCAAAGCAGCCTGACAGGCAGTAAAATGAAATAAAATGTTATGGGCAGAGAACAATTAGCCAGCAATATGGTGGCTCTTCAAGGAGTCCCTCTTTATTATGACAAGAAGACCCCCGAAACCTTTCCTACTAGAAACTTAAAAGCATTTTTGGTATGCCAAAGACCATGTTATTTATATGACATCTTAAACTCCCTGTGAATAATGTTGAGTGTTTTTATTTTGTTTTGTTTTGTTTCTGAGGGACTTTTTATGCTCTGACCGAAAAAAAAAAATCTGCCCATGGTAGTATGTTAACCTCAGACTTCAGTTTCTTGTTGGTTATCAACTGTATCTAGAAAAGTTTGGTTAAAATTTTCCTTTTTTGGGCATTAGTAGACAAGTTCTTCCCTGCTAGCAGCTAGCGATTTTTAGAAAAAGATACTTTGCACATCAGTTGCTTTCCTTTTGATATGTATATGCAATTGCTTCTGCATTTATCAATGAATAGATTACTGTTCACAAAAGACAAAGTTGTATTATTATTTACAATCCATTTTGCATTTCAAAATGTCTTACTTTATTTGGCATATGTCTTGTGACCCTGGATGCAGTTGTGCAAGCACTTAATTTAATTAGTTGCATGAGTGCAGTCCTTAGTGATCCAGGACTGGAAACTAATCTGCATATCTTAAACTTCTTAAATATGTGGATTCTAAACCTAAGCAGTGGAAGGGACAATTCTACATGTTAATTGATGGCAGTCACTGTAGCCATGCAGGAAGTAAGGCCACCATTACCTGGGTTCATGAATTGCTGTGAACCACCCAGAGAGCTGTAGTTATTGGGCAGCATAAAAATGAAATACATAATGATAATTAAATCCAGTAGGATTTATTCTTTAGTAAATGTATTTAGGATTCTAGTTGAACAGAACAATCCAAGAGGCAGAGGGATTCCATGGTGAAGTGACTGTCACTTCCTAAGCCCTGGCCTTTTTCTGTGCCACTACCATAGGTCTTTCTGTGCCCTACGCCAGCAGTCAGGTAAAAAGATTTTAGTGTGCCATCTTTTAATCGGCATACTGGAGGCCTTCAACACAGTAAGTGTTATTCTACCAGTGGGTCACCCTTTCCTCCTGCAGAACAGCACTTAATCTGCACTCAATGATTCCTTGACCTGTGCTAGGATTGCACCCTCGATGGTTGCATTTTTTAGGATGTTTGACCAAATTATGTCCATGAGCTGTTTTGATACTTTTTTTAATGCATATACAGACTTGGAAATAGTATTGTTTTCAAAGGAATAGCCAGACTAAAATACAAATGGAAAAATTTTGCTGCCTAGCCTTCTGCCCTGTTTCTTTTCTTAGTTCTACAGACTCTCTTCTGTTAATCAAGAGTTTGTTAAACCAAAAATAATTTCTGTTCATTCTGAGGTTTGCATTTTATGCTTTAATAATAGGTTTGGATCCAAAGAACTCCTTCACAAAAACCTTTTCAGGTGTTAATATAGTGCTGTAATGTATAGCTTCTATAGAAGTTAACATTTTTGTGGAACCTCTTAAATAAGTGGTAAAATTTCAGGCCTTTGGCACAAACTGTAAAACAGGATTTCTTGTTTTGTATTACATGTTCTCGGGGCAACGTCAAGACCTTGTTTTTCTGGTGTTGGTTCAAGGGCAGATTTTTGTGTTTGAAAGTGAAGCAGACCAGGACTTATGCAGCATGTTCTATGTCCTGTTTGATCTAGTGTGGCTGTTGACTATATAAAGCCATAACTATGAGCTAAGTGCCTAAGAGTGCAATCCTTTACTTGTGGAGACAGAAAAAGTTATACAGCTTTCAGCATCCCTCAGCTGGTATAGCTCACTGGGACATGTTGGATGTTGTAGGATTTCCGTATGCCTAAACATGCATAAAATTGCACCCTAAATTAGTTATAACTGAGTTAATAACTTCTGTCCATGGCTTAGTATGAAAAATACCATCATAATCTGTAAAGATGTGTGACAACTGCAACTGTACTAAAAGGTATGATATGCAACACTTTTTATAAAACTGTCAGCATTGTCCTGTATCTTCAATCTTTTGGTCTGAGTGCATAACAAGTTGAGCGCTATTCATGTGACACACTGGTGCTGTGGAGAGTGAGGAGGGGAACTGTGCCCACTGGCTTGTACTTTGACTTCCACATGTTCAGCCTAGCCTGTGAACAAGGCTACCACAAGGAGACTCTGTCCAGAGAGGTTAGGCTGAATGCATAAATTACCTGATAGGTCAAGAGACCACCATTGTATGTCTCTCTTCTGCACCTTTCAGTGAATGGAGGTATGTCACTTGAATAGAGTTATAGTCCAAATGCATCTTAGTGGCATTAGCAGTTATTGTATCAATGGTATGAATCAAGGCCAATCCAGAGGTGTACACGTAAACTATCTCACAAAGGATTGTAAGTGGGCGTCACAGGTAAAAATCAGATTTAACGAAAATTATTGCAGACATTTAACTTTTAAATTACAGACTGTCGATGGTCCATGCCAAGTCATAATTCACAAGTGGGAGACTCATCTACCACCACGATCAATAACCCCTTTAGGTATGGGCACCATTTGCATCTGTTTGGAGCATATGCATAAGATTACTAATATGTTACAAAATGGTTTAGTAGGTTTGATAATATTTGGTAAGATTAGCATTACATCCACTGCTACAAAGGCACCTTCCTTTTACCTCAGCCTGGGCATTGCTGAAAACATATAAAATGGGTTTACTTATATTAGTGAACAAAACAGATTGGAACATTTCTTTTCATGCCTTCATTATCATCAGATTTTGGCTGTTCAGATGGCTTGGGCAGGGATGGGATTTCATGTTTAGCTTTGAAGATGTGACTTAAGCCCAGTTCTCATCCCCAGACTTGAATCTGGAGGGAAGTTTGTGTGGGGACGAATCATCTTAGCAAAAGTGGAAATGTTCTTTCCCAGATACTATGTTCACCCTGTGGAAAAGGATTTTGTGGACTCTATCATTTTGATTGAAAAAGACAGGATATTTTCAGATAAACGCTACTAACAATCATTGTGCTTTGAGAGTGAGAGCCCATGATCATGTTTTCTTTACTGATCATGCCTCTGTAGTAGGAAGTATAAATTGTTTGTTAAACTTCAGTACCAATTCTTTAAAAAAAATAATAAAAACTTCAGTGACAGGGTATCCCTTCTCTAAACTATTATACTGAACAAATTCCTGAATACATGGGGCTTAAATACAAGATAAACATGGCTTATTCATCCCATTTAATTTAAGATAAACAGTGCAAATGGAGACTTAATGGTGGTATAAACTAATTTTCTCTCTCCCTCAAGGTGGTTTTATAAAGTGGTTGAAATACCTTGCTATCTGTTTTCTCTGGGACAACAGAACCTGAAAAATTGTGATTGGCTTTGTTTCATTATACATTTTCAGTATGTTATAACAACACATATGAAAATGTATCCTTTATATTTCAATTTGTGTACATTACGTGGAAGTAAAGTCTATGCATGCATTAGTTTCAAATTGAGGAACTTAGTGAGCAACTGAAGGCTGCTATTCTGTGCACACTTACCTGGAAGTAAGTCCCATTAAACTCAGTGGGACATTCTTCTGAGTAGGTAGGCGTAGGATTGCATTGCACAGCTTGTTTTCTTATTGTTATACTATTCACATCATTAGTGATGATTTGCTTAACAACTTACACTTTTAGTCAAGACGAGTCAGGAAATCATGACCTTATGAAGCTCTCTCCTAGTGTTCATTCCATCCTCTGCTGAATAGGTAATACCACTGTACCCTAAATTTAGATAGGTCCTCAGTTTGTGAAATGACTCTCAGTTGCTTTTAAAGGTAAAATGATAATTTGTGCCCATCAGAAATATCTTCTGATATCAAAGTCTAGCTACCACTGACTTTCAAGAAGACTTCGCTGTTTCGCTGTAGACTACTTCTGGCCATTAACTAATTGATTAATTACTTAAAGGGAAATGTATATTTCTTTGAAAAACCTTCAGTGCCAGCAAACAGTTGTCTATTGAATTAAGTAGTCCCTCTGCTCTTGGGGTGGGAAATTAATTGCATGAAGGTTTAATGTTCTTATAATGTTATTTCAACTGAACTTTTTTGTAATACTGGAAGAAACTGTAATTTTTTCTCATCTGAAAGAAACAGTAAAAATGACACCTGAAAATAAGACAGAGGGAAGAATAATCTTTTTTCTTAGAACTTTCATTATCTTAAACTCTGTACAGTTCTACATTGTTGATGAGCTTATTCGGTGTTTAGATTTCAACTTATGCATTCCTTTTGTATGGGATGAAAGTAGAAGCTTAATTTTTTATTGTATTAACTGAAACTTTAGATCTCAACTATAAGGATGTAGCAGAACAAATGTATTGATTAGCAAGTACTTCATAGTCCATCATAGTAGTAACACAACATGCATTATCACCCTAGTGCAACATCTTGACACGATAGACTGCCCAAGTATTGTCATATTCTTTCCCCCAGTTTAGATAGCTCAGTTTGAAAGAAGTGCATCCTGCTGAGGTTATGTGATGTCTTTTTAAAAGAAAAAGGCTTAGAATAGCCTTTCCCAATCTGGCAACTTCTAGGTGTGTTGAACTGTAACCCAATCATCCATAGTTAGCCTGGGGATGATAGGGCTGTAGGCCAACATATCTGAAAGGCAGCAGATTGGGGAAGGCTGAGTTTAAAGCTTCCTGCATGTTGTAATAACTTGCATATTCGCAGTTTCTGTATTTAAATGTTTAAACTGTAGCTGTTATGAATAATGCTAAAATAGAATACATACTGACAGTGCAACCCTCTACATGCCTATTCAGAAGTAATGTCCCTTAAACTTGAGGGGACTTACTTTCATGTGGTTAGGACTGCAGCCTGAATTAGAAATCAATTAGGTACGCTGTGAATATGAATGATTCTCATAGTTTGTCCTTTCAATTCTAGAGGACGGTTTTTGCGTCGATGATGGGCACTTCGGAATCTTTGGTAAGTATCTTAATGACCTTATATATGACTATTACTGAATACATATGTACATGTATTTGTTGAAATTCTCAAACTAAGGATATGACCTTGTAAGTGAAAGCTGAATGTAAACATAAAACTAGTTGAGTAAGCACATCTCTCCCTGAGTTACTGTGCTTAGCATTGTTGCCCACATGCAGGTGTTTATGGTTAAGTTGCAAATTCTGTGAGGGATGACCCTTAGAATCACATTGTCATTTAATTATTAGAATTATTTCTTTCTTGCTTTTCAGGATTGAGATTCTTTAAATAACAAAGATAAATTAGTAAAATCACAACAAACAATAGAACAATTTGTATAAGGACCCTAAGGAAGGTAGAAAGTCCTGAGGAAGGATGGAGGGGTGCCTTGGGTCCCTAGCTGGAGCTTTACCTGCTTTTCTCTTTCTTAGAATGCTTTCTACATTAGTTCAACATTTCTCTTGCCAACACGGTTGCCCTGTGATATTCATTCTTCCATATCTTATTAAATTAATCTTGTTAGTATTGATATTTAATATGTAAATGGTTTTGAATATTTGTCCCATTGAACAGATACAAAAAACTTTACATAGAACTTCACTTCAAAGCTTGAGTGATTAGGACCTTGCTTCCTTGTCTCTTATGACTGCCCCCTTACCCTATTGATTTGAGAAGGCTCGGGGTTGGGGGTGATTGGCCTTGTGAGGTTAATGGATTTCTTTATACATCCCTCTCACACACGCATCTCCCCCAGTGATTCAAACACTGCTTCTTGTGGCTGATTTGGGAAGTGTTTCAGCAGCACTAGAGGTGGCAATAAGCAGGAGTATCTTGGTGACTGTTGAGTGATAACTCCAGGGCATAGCAAAATAATTGTATTAAATTGTAACGATTGTATTTTTACTTTATCAGATGATGTGGAGAGTGTCGATTCTGGATGGCTGACATGTCAGACAGAAATAAGACTACGCCTGCATTTTTCTCAAAAACCGCCAGTGTCGATAACTAAGAAAAAATTTAAAAAATCTAGGTTTAGGTATGATTACATGAATAGTTTGCCATTGCTTGTCTTTGCTGATCCCCTACCTAAAATTATTTCTAGGCTGCTTTTTAATAATATAATAGTATTAGTTTCTGATCTATATTAGTTTAATTCATTAAAAAAAACACCAAATTTCATTCCCAATTTGTTTGCTGAAATTGTTACAGTCTGGATCAGTTTTCCCCCCTGCAACTGCTTGGGCTAGTTATTACTTCTTGGTTTTTGTAATCAGCTTTTAGGTTACTAAAACACTGCATTTAGAAACCTAAAGATGAAAGAGTAGGGTATACGTTTACCGGAAAGCGTCTTCCTAGGATCTCCCCATCCACAACACTCAAATGATAGGTGCCCTGGTATCCTTAAGTAGATGTGGATATGTCACCATTTTTGCGCCCTCCTTTATTGCTCTTCAGAAGAGTGGGGATTGCAACTGTGATCTTGTTCATAGATTGATCAGGCACTGGCTGTGCATGACAGTTGATATTTAGTTGCAGTTCAGTTTGTATTTAGCTCTGTATTCCCTTTATAGCACAGGGATTTAACAATTGCCATACGTTCAAACCTACTATTGCTGAGCATCCTCTGCAGTTGAAAGAATTCAGAGTTAGCCTTTTTTTATACTTTTACCCACATAAAATGCAGATGTCATAAATTCTTTGGAAGATGTTTTCCTTGTGTGCTTATAATACTGCATACCAACTGCAGTCCAGCAACGGTTCCAAATACGTTAGTTAATATTTGCAAATATATGGTTATTTTGTTTCCATGTGCTTTTGATGTTAGCTACAAATATCAGGAGTTTTGGAAACTGCAGATACCTTGATTAGATTGTTGGGGTGTGAGAACTTTTTAAATTAAAGGGTAAAGAAGTAAAGCTGTTGTGTATGTCATCTTTGGGCTTAGATTGAAAAGGGTAATGCTGCACTTAACTGGAATGTAAGAACCCTGGTAGATAAAGGCCTACCTATGTAGTCATTCATTTTGCTTCACACAGTAATCAACCAAATGCCTATTGGCAGCTCATTAACAGACATGTGGGTTTCCTATAGGCAAGCTTTCTTGCCATAGTTTCCCAGCAGCTGGTATTCAGGGGAATCCTGCATCTGATCCTAAGATGTCATACAGCCACCATGGAGGCCCTGATGGCCTCTCCCTTACTCATTGCTATCAGAAGTCTCCTCAAGAACCATCTTGACCCTGGGGGGAGGGGAGAGATTGAAAAGACTGGAGAGCTGCCTACCATCCAGCTCTGAATAGCATTTGCTTCCTTGAGTACCCCTGTATTACTAATCAATAACCAAAGGGAAAAGGGTTGGTTTAAAAGAAAGCTCTTTTATTTTTATGGTTTTGTCTGCTTATTCAATGTTTTTGTGAAAAAATGCTTTGTGAGTTGCATCTGAAAAGTATTAATAGCTTAAATAAAGCTTAGTAGCCATTGAATGTCATATTCTCTATGGAGTCATCTAACTCCCTTGAGGAAGCACTTTCCATTGTTTAATAGAGAGCTAGTTTGGTGTAGAAGTGAACAAGTCCTAGACTGGTGCTCACAGCTGGGTTCTAGTCCTTACCTGGCCATGAAGCTCACTTTGGGTGAGTCACAGAGTTTTGGTCCAAGTTATCACACAAGGTGGTTGTTGTAAGGGTAAATGGAGAGGAGGAGAACCTTGTAACCTGTCTTGAATTCCTTGCAAGAGGAAGATAGGTGGGGTATAAATGCAATAGTAATGATGATGCAGTGTGTGACATAGTGTTTCCTTTTGATCGTCCTGAATCTTCATGCATTCAGCATCATTGAGTGACTTGGGTTCTAGCATAATGAGAGAGGGACAAAACGTTAGTGACTTTTCTCATGCTGTGCATACTGCTAGCTATTGCATCATGTCTAGTGTTACCACAAGATTCTCTGAATCTGTGCTCTCCCCTTATTCTGTTGTTACTGTTAATCTATGGCATGTACCATCAGAATTTGCTTTCTCCTTACTCTTCAGGGTGAAACTTACCCTTGAAGGCTTAGAGGAGGAGGGGGAAGATGAAGAGGATGATAGACTGTCACCTACAATTCATCATAAGATGGCAAACACATTAGAAATTTCTTTAATAAGTGATACGGAATTCAAATCTCGGCATTCTCAGCCAGAATGTGGTTATGGACTTCAGGCTGACCGGTGGACAGAATATACAATACAAACCATGGAACCAGACAACTTAGAATTAATCTTTGATTTTTTTGAGGTAAGGACTTCGTTTTGTAAAAAAAAGCATTTTTCTGTTTAATGTCAAGGTGGATTTTTAAAATGCTCCTTTTTACATTATGGCAATCTTTTTATTGAACTGCTCTTTATCATATTTCAGGGATGCAGCCTCCCTGAAACAATTACAGTTAGAAAAGTGAGCAGCGCAGAAATTGAGCTAAGGGCTATTGTAGTGACATCTAAATTCAATGAATGAAGGAAGGAAAAAACCAGACTTCGCAGTGAATGAAGACTTTGCTCTTCAGGGCTGATCCTAAGCAAGGGTGGAAATTTTACTAAAGAGTTCACAGACATTTATCTAACTAAGGGCATATTTTAAAAAAGCATTGCTTCTGCTCCAACCCTCTACTCATTATAAAGTAGGATGATCCTCAGTCTGAGTTTCCTCTCCTTAAGACGCATAAGAAATAACACTGGAGTTATTTGAAAAGAATCTTTACCTTGAATATAATAACTAAGTTCCCCCAGTGAGATTGATATCCTGCCTTCTGGTCACTGGTAGCCTTTCCCAGGTCACCCAGATTTGTGAGTTGCTTAGGTACATCCATCTTCTTAATAGTATATTTATGACACTGATAATTGCAAAATGTCCTTTCCTTGAAAAAGGTAAAATAGTAAGGATTCAAAAATATAAGGAACAATATACAAATAATCTTTCATAACTCTTTAAATGGTCTTTATCTCTAGTCTTGTTCACATCTCCTGATATGTAATGCCACAAGAGAATAGTGGCGGAATTCCACTTATTGTATGTTATATTTTTCAACTCTATCAAATATATTAGAAGCATACAGTATGTTCAATATTATGTTACTCCATCAAAGCATAAAGGTTAATTCTAAATAGCAGATTGCAGCATGCTTATTTTTCTTGAAATTTAAAAGTAGTGGCAAAGATAACAAGTGGGCAAGATCAGCTGTCCTCAGACTTTTTCAACAGGGGGCCAGTTGAAAGGCTGTGGTGGCCATTGCGGGCTGGGGAAGTGGGGGTGCCTGGGGGCATGGGCCGGTGAGGTGCCGTCAGGCACACATGGCAGTGGCTTGCTTGGAGACCTCCCAGTGAGTCCAAAACCATCTCCAAGCAAGCAAGCCACCACCTTCCCACCCGCATTGTGAGGCAGCAGCAAGCACGTGCATACGGGAGGCAGGCGGCAGTGGCTTGCTCGCTCAGAGATCATCTCTGAGTGAGCAAGCCACCGCCTGCCGGCACAGGCTGGATGGATGGCCATGGCGGGCCAGATCTGGCCCACGGGCTGTAGTTTGAGGACCCATGGCTTAGATGAACATATGTTTTCCATTGCTTTATCTGCCGTCATGTGGTGAGACTTGTATTCAAAAAAATCTCTCTCATATGCACAGTCTCTCATTCAAAAAAATCACTCTCATATGCACAGCAGTAATTTTAAATATTTAAACACTTCTGCATTTTTAGGAAGATCTTAGTGAAGCAGTGATACAAGGAGATGCACTTCCAGGTCATGTGGGCTCTGCATGTCTGTTATCCTCCACCATTGCTGAATCAGGAAAGAGCTGCGGTATTCTTACTCTTCCTATTATGAACAGGATTTCTCGAAAAACAATTGGAAAAGTTCGAGGTTTGTTTAACACAAAACATGGTGGGGATGCATGAACCTTAAGCTAAATATATTTAATTTTATATTTTAAAAATACGGGGTTGAATCTAGATTAGCATTGTGAGAGAGTAATTTATGCTGGAGGGAGGGGGCAAGGCTTTTGTGATTTCCTTTGCAGCCCTTCGTGCTTCCTGAAAAGCTGCTTTGTAGGACTGGGAAATTTTCCAGAGCAGCATGAGGTTACAGAGGGCGAGTCAGCAAAAGATCACATCCCTGCCCTTCCATTCATAGAATAATCTAGAGCAGGGGTCGGCAACCTTTAACACTCAAAGAGCCATTTGGACCCATTTCCCAAAGAAAAGAAAACACCAGGAGCCACAAAACACTTTTGACATCTAAAATGAAGATAACACTGCATATATAGTTTTTTACCTTTATGCTATGTATAAAAAACTATAGTGTGTTGCATTTATGAAATCAATGAACTGCAACAGAGAAAACAAATTTTTATTTCTGCATGCAACAAAAACATTTTGAACTCCGAAAAAAAAGACGCTGGGTTGAAAGTTACTTTCAAATAAAATACTCAGTGTGTATCTGAGTCCTCCTCGTATTTATGAAATAAAAAGCCGAACTTATATTATCCACTAGCAGCAAACCAAACATGCCACCTGCAGCAAACCAAAAATGCTGTCTGTTTCTGTGTGCCCTCATCCTTTTATCACGTGGTGAAATATTGAACAAACATCCCTCTCGCAATGTAATAATGTTGCTGGAATTTTTATAAGAATCTTCTTAAAGAAGTAGATCTGTATCTTCATTATGATTTAGCTGCAGCTCTTGTTCAGTCACTAAAAACTGTTATTTTTAATCTTACATTATAAACTAGTAGGATTCCTTTTGTATATTTTGAATAGAACAGCTTCCTGCAGAGTCAAAGTCAGTGCTAAAGGGCTGCATGCATTAAACTGCAAACTCCATAAGTTCGTCAGCAGTAAAAGCAAATGAATCTACCCATGTACCATTAAACGTTTGGTTTTCTTCAGAAATTTGTATTTTCTTTGGATTTATCCATGGTTGGAGGGGGGAAAGCTCAGTAAATTGGGCGCAGATATAGGTGTGTTTAATGACTGATAAGCAGCTAAACAGTCAAGTGATGTGAATTGTGACAGGTCCCAAGCACAGCTTTTAACATTCAGATGAAGGAGATTACATTGGGACAAAGCAAATCTTTTCAGCAGCAGTTTGTTTTGTGTAACATGAGAGCCTGCAGGAAGCTTGTTTAGCAGAGGAATGTAGCGATTTACTTACTAGCTGATTTCCTTAGCTAGCTAGCCCTGCGTTCCTGAATGGAGCTTCGAGCAGATCAGCAGCTGGGCCGGCGCGTGTTTTGAGCAACGGAGCCGCAGCAAAGGGGTTCAAGAGCCACGTGCGGCTCCGGAGCCGTGGGTTGCCGACCCCTGATCTAGAGTCAACCCTCCACTGCAAGCAATTTCAGGAAAAACTAGGCTATGCAGCCAGGATTAATGGTTTTAGGAAAGGTGCCTAGTGATGATAAAAGGCTTGTTAAATATACTTATTTGTTCTATATCAGGTGCTTTGCATTTCAGAAGATTTTGAGTAAAATTTCTCAAACCAAATTGAGATAAAGTACTGGATAAATATAATTTAACAACTAAGTGATAATGTGCTTTCTTTTTGCAGTGGATTACATAATTATTAGGCCAATTCAGGGATACTTCTGTGATATGGAAGCCTCGTATGCCAAATACTGGAGAGAAAGATCAGGGCTAGATGTTGGGCACAGGGGTGCAGGGAACTCTACCACCACCACCAAGTAAGTCATTTAATTCAATTGTATTCTTTAGCAGTAGCTTAGGGTTGGCAGACTTCTCATGGAAAGGAGATTTCTCCTTCCTGCTGCAGCCCTTCTGAATTGGAGACTTTCAGTTTGTAATAACAACTCAAATTAAGAGAAGCCTATTATTGAAATCCTTGAACCTCAGCTCCAAATTTGTTTTGCTTGGGAATGCATGTCAGATGTTTAGAGAAAGTGCTTCCTAGAAAATGTTCCAAAGATTTTAGCTTACCACTTTACTTCCGGCCTGATCTAAGGATTTGCCCATATGTGAGAACTGCAAATACAGTTAAGATTGGATCTTCCCACCAAATCAATTTTTCAAAATCAAACATTCAAGTTCCTGATAAGGGACAGTTGTTAATTGATTACTGTCCACTCAGTAACTTTATCTATACTGATGCTGCTTCATTGGCTACAAATGGACTTGAGGGTTGATACATATTTCTAAAAGAACTAGAAAACGTCTTGCAGGGTTAATAATATCTAGTATCTTAGATAAAATCAAGAGCATATTCTTTGTTACAAAGTTTGTCTGTTTTTTCATATATGGAATGAATATAGAATTTAAATCTATGCTTAAAAATAATGTAAAAACACCTTTTTGTTTTCAGGCTTGCAAAACTTCGAGAAAATACTGTTGCCTCTTTAAAAAATGCTGCTAGACATGTATGTTTGATTTTTACTGTAATCCTTTTTATGCATGTTAATACCTATTTATTGTTAAATTATGTAGAAGAAATGAGAATTCATGCAGTGCTGCTCCCTCAGCAAAGGAAAAAGGAACAGCTCTTGAAGACAGCTGAACAGCTATGTTCTGCTCTAATTCTAGCTTCTGGAGCAGCCTTAAGGGCAGCCGACATAAGTGCGTTGCAGTAACCCACTCTTGTTGTTACTGAGCTACTTGAACACTTGCACTACTACAACATGGAGTAGTGTCCAGAGGAGAAAAGGACTGGTGAACCAGTTGAAGCTGGTAAAAGTTGTTCTGAGCTACCATGGTTATTTGGGACTGTGATGGATCTAGAAGTAACCCTGTCTATGAATCTGATCTTGCAAAGAGAGTGCCGTCTTGACCAGAACAGGCAATGAGCCTGTCTGCCAGACTTTTAGCTTCAGTTTATTGACTCCCATCACTGAGCCTATGCATTGATCCAGGACATGCACACCCTCACCTGATTCAGATATCAAAGGGAGAAAGAAAGGTATGTCATCAGCATACTGATGGCATGTGGCTCCCAGTGGCTTCATAAAGATGTTAAATGACACTGGGGGCAGATCAGTTTACAGAATTAATAGCTCAGCTACCATGGGGCTGAGGAATAGTCACTCAGTGTTACTCCTTGAAATTGTCCCCACAGATAAAAATACAAGAACTTTCATATAATCATAGAATAGTAGAGTTGAAAGGGGCCATGAAGGCCATCGGGTTTGACCCCCTGCTGTTGCAGGATACCAATTTATACCATCCCACTCACTTGGCTGTCTAGTTTCTTTCTGAATGTCTCTATTGTGGGCGAGCCCACCACCTCTCTAGGCAGCTGGTTCCATTGTCGTATTGCTCTGACAGTCAGGAAGCTTTTCCTGATATCTAGCCTGAATCTGGGCTGTCACAGCTTGAATTGATTATTCCATGACCTACACTCTGGTATCAGCAAGAAGACAGTGCCTTTAACACAGTGCCTCCTGTGTCCAGCCCACATAATAGATCCATGCATATACCATGGTCAGTGATATCCAAAGCTGATGAGAGCACGCAGAATTAACAGGGGTTCTTTGCTTTGCATTTACTACATCCTTGATAAACCTGATCACTTGCTTTTTGGGGAAAAAACTGTTGTCTTGTGCTTCATTGATTCTTATTTACACTGGATAGTCTGTAGAGTGCTATTGTTTGGATGTAATAGCAGAACAACTGCAAGCCTCTTCCAAATTTTGCAGCCACAGCCAACAAGTTCAGAATTTGTAGATTGTTTCTGTGACATCCAGATGTGGGCACTTGGGGTTGCTCATGTGTTAATCATTCCCTACTTAAACCATGCTCTTTGTTCTTGGATAAGCCCATAAATTGCCACTGAATGCCCCTATTACTTCCAAGCAGGGCCTATAAGTGGAAGTCTGTTTATGTGCTACTTCCACTGGAGGAAGCAGAAGCATTTATGGTCAGTTCCTCCTTCCTCTGCTCCTGCAAAGAAGTTCTGGGGGGGGGGGGTCAGGGACTCTCCAGAAGCTGGTGAGGGGTAGGTGGGAGGGAAATTAGGTGAAAACTGCCTCCCCCCACTTCCTCACTGGTAGTTTCTTCTAGATACTCATCTCTTGTATGATGGAATCTGTATACTAGGAAGAGGAAAGCTCAGGCATGTCTCCACACTAAAGATATTGTTACACTTTTTTCATAAAATGGATCAAATTCTGAAGTTAAACCCAGCAAGCTTGTCTATAATGATTTATACACTAAAGTACATGATGCGATTCAGAAAGCTTGTTATGCATTTTTGACCTTTCATATTTTGACATTCACATACCATTGTATTCCATCCATCTCCCCCTCTTCTGACTTAGGGAGCAGCCTTTGTGGAATTTGATGTACATCTTTCCCGGGATCATGTCCCCATCATATATCATGATCTTACGTGTTGTATTGCAATGAAAAAGGTATTAATATATGTATTTTGCATTACTTTGCTTAAATATTTGGGTGACTGGCACAATGGTACTTGTTGCTTTTTGCAATACTTCATCCTGACTAGTTGAGACTCTTAAAATTTACATGCAAAACACCTGATCTATATAATGATTCACAAATGTGTGTTTGTACTGCTGTCTAGCACTGCTGTATTTCTAAACAGTTTAATAGACTAGAACAACAGGATTGCTTTCAGTGACATTTCACCCCTACCCCTCAAAAGCTGCGATTTTTTAAAAATTTAGAACAGCAATGTATATGCTGGAAACTAACATTTATCTGATGGTTGGGAGTTTAAACTTTAAAAAACTAGGTGAGCCAAGTTAATCCCCTTCTGATTGAAATGAAAAGCAAGAAAAAATGTATCATTTTCTGAAATGGAGTGGCATGCTGGCCATCTGTCATATGAAAATGCTGTATCCATTCTCCTTTATTATATAAGTATTCCAAGTTGTTAATTTTTTAGTATTTAGGAAACCCATAATATTTAGAGAACTACTGATATTTGAGGTATTTAAATTATTAGTATTACTCTTACATTGCTTTGGTATTCTGCCTTTTTCCTCTTGTACAATGGGGATTATGTAGCTCCATTTTGTCTTCACAACCACAACTACCACCTTACGAGGTAGACTAAGCTACGAGTAAATGACTGGCCCAAAGTCATTCATGGAGCTCCATGGCCACGTGGGGACTAGAACCCAGATCTCCAGTCCAACACTTTAACCACACCACCACACTGGCTTCAGTTTATTATGTGGAAGTTTTTTTAAAAAAACCAGTATCAAGGAATCTTAGCCAGTTTTGTTAGATGTAACCCATCAGACCTTTATTAGGAATCTACAATGCTGCAGGGAGAAAGCCCTCCCCCCGACACGCACACACACAATCTGGAAAGGTCATCCCTCCCAGTTAGAGCACAAGTTTTCTATGAGCAACCTCTTGGAAAAATACAAAAGCAAAAATACTATTTGATTAGAGATCAGGGGCTTCTGGAAACAAGTAAGTTTCCCAGAATGTATCTGATGACTTTGCACATGGACACAAGCATGCATGTGTTGTTACTAAAAGATGAAAACATATGCATAATGCCATTCAGACATGCTTATGACTAAGGGGCTTATGATAAAATACCATTTAAAATGATAAAGTAGAACTACATCTCCTGAACCAGGAGACTGCAAAAGTAGCCAAAGATCGCTTCTTTGCTGCTTATGCTTAAGAGCGGTTGGACAGCATAATGGAAAGCCTTCTGTTTTCTGCTTCACCTCTGTTCTCGGGGAGGCTTTACTTACACAGCCTCCTCATGCCATCAGCCTGAATAGCAAGAGAGATGAAGAGATACTGTAACCCCCTGCACTGGATAAACAGGTTGGTTGCTGGGGCTTATTGTGTCCCTTCTGGAGCAGAGTCCTTCATAATACCTTCCTGTGTAGAATTGATCCCCTAGGGAAGGGGAGAGAATGGATAATAGTTTTTGCATTTACTTACAACACAACTGTGTGCATGCTTACTTGAAATTAAAGTCCTGTTACACTGGATGAAACTTAAGCTCTAAACTGCATGTTTTAAGATAGCTTTCGAATAACTATTGGCATTCACTGGTTTTCTAACCTAATGCTTTTCCCTCCATTTGATTAAAAGAAAGATGAAAATGAGCCATTGGAGCTGTTCGAGATTGCAGTTAAAGAGCTCACATTTGCCCAACTGCAGTTATTAAAGGTATTGTACTAGACTGGCTCCATATACATTTTGCAAGTGCTTTTTTAAAAATTATTCTGATGGTGGATTTTATTTGACTTTTCTGTCCTGTCCAACATAAGCTTTCAAAGCATCTCACAGTATAAAATGCAACCCAAAAACCTGGTCAGTATAAACCTGATCATAGTAAACACAGGGAACATCTTTTTAATTAAGTAACTTGCATATTTACCATTTAAGGCTTTATCAGTAACAACTAAGAACCTTTAAGCCTGGAAAACCATTGGTAACCAAAGGAGATCCTTCTGTATAGCTGTAAATATATTATGCTTGCTGTAGTCACTCCCAGTCATTAGCAAGGCAGTCATATTTTGAACTTGTCATAGCAACTCTGCTTATCAAGTAGCCCTGTGAAAACACATTACTGTAATGAAGCCAGGAAATTACAAAGGCATATATGACAGCAGTCGATTCTTTGATATGCAGAAGGAAGACATTGTTATTGGATGCCACATTGTTATTTGAACATAATAAATAACAATGTGCCGGAGGTCAGACTAGATGGCCCGGGAGGCCCCTTCTGACTCGCTCTGTTTTGTATGTTTCTATGTTTCTATAATGCTAACCCATGGTTTAGTTAACCTGCAGTTTGTTGCCTTAGATTTGTCTGTTTTCTCAGTTTGTGGGTTCTTCACTTCCCTCTTCTGCCTGTTCCTTCCCTAATGGTGTAGCAGTGCTGAAGTATTGACATGCAGAGTGCCTAGGATTGTTTTTTTTAATGACTCTTGCCTGCCCACTCAGCAGACTAGTGAAACAACTCATGGTTCCAGGTGCACATATAATGACATGTCATGATTTAAACAACATGGAGTTCACAGTTCAGCAACAGTACCTCTGTCCTCTGTTCTTGCTAGCTGTAAAGCAGAACTAGAATCATGCTTGTTACAACAGGAGCTGGGAAAACCTGAACTCGAGATTATTGTTCACTTGGAGTTTAATACTCCAAAAACATATGATACTGTACAGTGTATCTTTCACCATGTTCAGTATTTGCACATAGAGGCCCATGTTCAAACTCTGTTCAGAAAGTGGATATGTTGTATGTGGAAATCTTGCAATCAGAACTTTTAAAAGCATATATTCATTTTATTTGTAGCTGGCACATGTGACTGCATTGAAGTCTAAAGACAGTCAAGGTATGTCAAAGTCTTTCAAATCTTGGCAATTCTTACCTGTTACATATTGATTCTGTTCTAATTAATGAATGTTCTAATTATTTAATAGTTTAATATTGGAGTTGCATGCCAATAAACTAATATTAGTTTAATATTTAATAGTGAATTAGGGGGTTGTACTCCCCATGAAGGAGTAGGTTCATAGCTTGGGGGTGCTCCTTGATCTATCCTTGTCACTTGAAGCTCAGGTGACCTCAGTGGCTTGGAGTGCCTTGTACTAGCTTCAGCTGGGGCCCAGCTAAGCCCCTATCTGGACAGGGATAAGCTGGCTTCAGTAATCTACACTCCGGTAATCTCTAAATTAGATTACTGCAATGTGCTCTACATGCTGCTGCCCTTGAAGGCAGTTCCGAAGCTGCAGCTGGTGCAGAGTACAGCAGTCATAATAATAACTGGAACCTGCACATAATCTGAACACATAAGACCAGTTCTGCCCTGTCTACATTAGCTGCCTATATGATTCCGGTCCCAATTCAAGGTGCTGGTTTTAATCTATAAAGCCTTTCATGGCTTGGGACCACAATACCTGTTGGAGTGCCTGTCCCAACAGCAGTCTCTTTGGATACTACTCTCAACCTTTGGGGACTTCCTCTGAGTGCCTACTCAGAGGCTTTCTCTGTGATGGCTCCCTGCTTATGCAGTAACCCAACTGGTGCTGAATTTGGCATCTTTTTGGCACCAGGTTAAGAAGACCCTATGTGCTGAGGTTTTTAAAGACATATCTGGGTACTTAGGGGCCTGAGGTGATTGCCCATCCTGGGTGTTTTACTGAGTCTTTCTTTGTTTGGTTTAGCTGTTTTAAAATTTTAATATATTTATAAATTTATATATTTATATGTATTTGTATATATTACATATGTATATGTAAATAAAATACAAATATTTTATAAATATTTGTATTTTAACATTTGTTTTATGGAGTGTTGTAAACTGCCCAGAGAGGTTTGGCTTTGGGGTGGTGTAGAAATGAAGATGATGATGTTTTGTACTGCTTTTAGAATGGTGTATCTTCTATAATGCTTCTTCATTAATGTGCAAGAGTTGATGCAAAATATATAGTATTTAAATATGTTTCTTATATTATTTGATAAGCACACTAGTTTCCAAATTGGTTTGCGATGCAATTATTATATTTTGGTGCACTGGCAGACCTTCACTGGAGCCAGCTCCTCTGCTAAGTTGACACAGCATTGCAAATCTGTTTTGATACAAGATAATAGTGGGTTTCTGGAGAAATGCAATAGCTTTTCCTGTGCATTAGCGTATCTAATTTAAAGTGTCCCAATCTTTTGCGAAGACTTGGCCCTTGATTTAAGCAACCTTGGACTTACTGATGCACACCATTTGATTGATGTGAATTCCCATCCTTCAAAAGTGGAGAGAAGAGGCAGAGCAGGAGATGATAGCAAGGGTGCACCCAGCAACACTGGGACACATCAAGTGAAGGTCTTCTTCATGGTTTCTGTGCATCACATGCATGGGCTTTGTGCTTATATGGCACCTTGATCTGGGAAACTTGTGTGGTTGAGTTGCTGAGGCAGGAACATTTCCCCCACCATCTCTACACACATGTTCCTCACAGGTTTCTGCCCACCCACTTGGTTTCTCTTCAACTGCCATTGTGGTTACCTTGTGTGGAATACTGATTTTTGTAGTAAAACTTTTTTCTCCATTCTTAAAGGAAAGAGTACAGGAAGAACAAAGAAATAGAAGGGACATTTTTTCATCATCTTCACTTAGTTGTGATCATAGGCTCACCCTAGTGAAGTCTAGCACATAGCCTTGAAAGCCCCGTTCTGCAAGCACATTCAGCATTGCAGTAAGCTATCTACTGACAGGCATTCCCTCTGCCTATCTATTTAGCTGAAGGGCACACTGTCTCCATCTGTGCCCAGTGCCAAGCCTTTACTAAGCAGATTTGCAGAAAACAGGCAGACTACCTTCAAGCCCTACTTTGAAAACATGTGCTAGATGTAGTTAAGGTGAAGTCAGTGGCACAGCCTAAACCACCTTCTGCCACACTAAAGATATCCAGATGAGCCAAGACACCAAAATTGAATCCTCAGAAAAAGAGGGGAAAAGAACAAAGCATCTCAATTTCATGAGTCCATTGAGAAGACTGTGCCTGTTTCTTCAGATCCATGCCCACCCACTTTAGTATCCACAGTGGTGCAAGGCACCTTGCCATTAGTGTCGTTCTCTGAACGAGAGATCAGATGTGTCCTCATCTCAATTCTGAGAGGGTCTTTCTCTACACCAAACATCCCCTTGAAATTGGGACTTTCCAGGCCCTGGAGCTATACAATACAGACTTGAACATAGAAGTCCCTAGACCTATTCCCCATCTACATACTGTGAGAGATCTTGCTCCCCTCTCTCTGAGTAGGAATGCCATTGCTATTATCGGGATAACTAGAGAATAAGATGGGACCACAGACCCTCTGAACTGTGTGAATTGGGAGAAACCTATTTTTCTTCTGACTCAAATTCTTGTTAGATTTGTTGGCACCAATCTAAACTCCATCAAAAGTCAGGTCTACCTTCCAAGAAGCAGACTGTGGACAATTGTTCAATTAGTGACTAGAATTGTGAGGCATGCTCCACCCGTCTTCTCTGCTCAGAGGCTGTTGGCCCATATGACAGTCATTACATCAGTAATGACTGCATCATTCACTTGTCTCTACATGAAGCAATTCCAAAACTGGTTCTTTGGGCCTTTGTGGGAAAATTGCCACATGCCAAATATGCCTTTTTTTCTATGCTATTCAGCTGTTCATTCTTGTCTGACTATAAGCGATCCTATGGGCCAAATCGTGCCACACTTTCCGATCCTGTGCCACCTCTTTCAGCTGAACTATGCTCTGGCCCACACCCTCTTTGATGGCATCTAAGCACCTCGCTCTTTGGTACCTGGTTTTCTCTGGCCACTGAGCATTCCAAGCATTATATCTTTTTCTAAAGAATGAGTCTCAGCTTTGTTATCCTGCTGACCAGGGATGCATCTGGTTCAGTACGCTCCAGCACCTGCTTGTTCATCACTCCTGCTGACCATGGAATGTGCAGGAGCCTCTGCCAACACGGCAGCTCAAATTAGCCGGTTTTCCTCTTGACTAATTTTTTCATTGTCCAGCTTTCACGCCCATAGATTACTATAGCAAAAAGATCACATGAAGCAATCTGCACTTGGTTGCCAAGCTGTTGTTCTTGTTTTTCTACACTCGGTTCATTCTTGTCATTGCCATATGTCCAATTCATCACTTTCTGAACTGCATTCACTGCTGCAAGTAATCAGTGATCAGTGATCCCAGGAAAGTGAATTCCTCTACACATTCAATTTCCATACTTTCAATTGCTATTTTGATGGTTTCATTCTGTGCAGTCATCAAGATCTTCATCTTTTTGATATTCAGAAGGAGGCCAAACTTCTCACTCTCTTCTTTGATTATTTGGATCAATTGCTTTAGACTATCCTGGGTTTCTGAGAGAAGGGTTGTGTCATCAGTATATCAAAGGGTGTTGATGGTTCTTCCTCCGATCTTTATCCTGACTTTTTATTCATCAAAATCCATCTTCCTCATGATTACTTCAGCATACAAATTGAACAGAAAAGGGAAGGAATAGAAACATAGAAACAGAGCAAGTCAGAAGGGGCCTCCCGGGCCATCTAGTCTGACCCCCAGCTCCAGCCGGCTCCACTCATGACATGCCCACCATGTGTACATCCTTGTCAGACTCCTTTCTCCACCTTGAACCAATCAGTGTCCCCATACGGTGTTCTTACAGCTGCTTGCTGGTTTGTATATAGTGACTGCAGCAACCTGACCAGATGTGTTGGTACCCCCAGGTCTTTTAGTGCTTTCCATAACTGTTTGTCATGATCAATGCAGTCAAAGGCTTTTCCTCCATTGATAGACACCAGCCTCTGGTCTTCAGTGAGGTATTCCTTTCCTCCTCTCACATTCCATAACTTTCCTGACTGATACACCTCTCAAAGCTTGAAGGACACATTGTGGGATGCTGTGGGAAACTCTGGACATAGACTTGTTTGCTATGAGCCCATCAGCATGGCAGTTTGGAAGCAACTATCTTTGGGAAACACTTTCACACTTGGTTGCGGGCATTCTCTATGTGTTCCCTCCTCGTGATTGCAAAAATTCGAGCTGGTAGTGCCAGTTGCAGCCTCTTGACTCCTTGGTAGCCACAGCAGCAGTGGTCTACCTACCTTTTTCTCAGGTCGAACCAAGAATACTACCAATTACTGTTGATTCCTGAACTTCTTTTACTACACAACAAATGGATCCATCACCCCAACTTCTAGATGCTAAGGATGATGGTGTGGAGATCCTAGCTGTGCTACCTGTTTGATCCTCCCCTTTCTTTTCTAATCCAAGAGGTCTTAGATGCAGTTTAGAGGCCTTCTACTATGTCTTCCTACAGTAGGAAATGTAAGGTGTTTTTGGCTTTTGCTCTCTCAGTTGCCTCTGATCCAGCTGTAGCATCTGTACAATATATGTTACACTTTCTTCACTCCTTGTTCTAGAAAAGTCTGAAGTACTTACCTTTCTGGTTATACTATGGCAAGTTTCTGCCTTCCATGTTCCAGTCTCAGTTTTTTCCATTTTTTCAACTCCATTTCAACAGCTTCTTTGGGACATTTGGAACTTGGCTCCCTTATGCATTTATGGATCCCTCAGTAGAGCTTCTACATACTTGATGTCTAAATCCTTTGAACTGTTGGTGCCTGTAGCTCTCAGGCTTCTGTCATGGAAGGTGATTTTTAAGTATTTCAGCATGCCAAGAAAGTGAGCTTTGTGCTTTGAGGACTGATGTGCCATGCACATCTTTCCATGTGGACAAAGTAGTCCTCTATCCAGATATCTCCTTCTTACCCAAGGTGATACTGGATTTCCATCTCCATCAAGATGTTATTTGCCCGTTTTGTTCCATCTCTGTCATCATCT